AGAACTTAATATTTAAGTTTTCATTAAATCTAAAGAATTTAATTCGAAGACTTAATATTTAAGTTTTTATTTAATTTGGACGATTTAATTCGAAGGTTTAATATTTAAGTTTTTATTTAATTCGAAGACTTAATAACTCGAGGGCTTGATAAGACTTAATATTTTAATTAGAAGACTTAATACGAGGCTTAATATTAAAACTTTAACAGTTGAAAATTATCAATGGTGCCGAAATCATGATAATACAAGTAAATATAGTTGATGTTAAGATCACATATAAGGGATCGGTCTAAATAACACATATATCGATGGATATTATCGCTTTAATGTAAAATAAGTACCACGAATGCAAAAATCACCCGCACATTCAAAGTGATGTTACTGGGATGCTTATGAACGCCAGCGCAGCCGTGCCAGATTCTTCAATCCTGAGCTACATGTCCAAATAAATCAAAGAAAAATAACAATCTACTTGTCTTTTTTTCTTAAATAAAAACTCATTAATTTCTCATTTTTCTCAAAAAAAGCCTGGTAGCCTCCCCCGATTTCTCCTTTCCTGGCTAAATTAACAAATACGCGAAACAACTTGAAACATGAATACTTTCAGATAAAATTGAGGTACTAACTCGAGACTACGAGTGTCAATTCCTTTCACTGAATCATCAAAAGCTACTGCTACTGTATTTCCGTTTGTATGTGGATTCCATGTTAGCGCACTGATCGGAGTTTTGCTCTCCAATGTCAACGATTCTTCCAGCTGTAATAAACTTGTGTGCATACACCAACAAATTATATTAGATGAGCAAAACTGTGGTAACGGTAAGAAATGTATACACGACTTAATGCAACGAAACAATTCTTACCATAATAATATTCTCACAAATTTTCTAATTTTCATTTTTTTTTACCTCCTTTTTTCTTCCTTTCTTTTTATTTCATCCTATCTTATTATAACTTTCTATTACTACTTTTATGCAAGAATTTTACACTATCAAATATAGTTCAACAGTTAGCATCTTCTCCCTCTCAAATACCTCACTTTCGATTGTCATCCTCTGCTCCTCTTAACCTCCCCACCTCCGCATGGGATCACCTATATTAATAGACCCCTTTGTTAATTTACATTCACCTAATGTAGTTTCGTTCCACTGGTCCAATATCATTTTCTAAATCTTGTCTGCTCACCTAAATTCCCAGCGAGCGAATTTTCCAGTCGTTTTTCGACTACTTTTTTGACGTAAAAGGCATAAAAGGACATTTTAGGAAAAGAAGTTGGGCCAGTCATAGATGACAGACAACAGATAGACGAAATGTATAATTCACTGGTATTCACTGGTATGTATAATTCACTAGCATGCTAGAAGAACAGCTGGAATTCACTGGCGCGCTTAGCTGATCCGCTAACTCAAATGTATGGTACGCTTTGAATGTTGAAAACCTAAAACTGAAGCCGGCAGCACAATTTTCGCCCGGAAGCATAAAACCTAGGATTGAAAGGCCAGACACTAGAGGAAGCCACGCGAATTAGTAACCATTACAAGTCCTATGCAGGTTGAGTTAAGGCATAAATGACTTAATGAACTGAAACGTCTTATCCCATTCTTATCTCATCCAATCATACTGTTCTTCATGCTGTAATCTATCGCGTATCCGCCATTTAAACCTGTCATGTCAAAACATGAAAAGTGATAGATAAAATTTGCTCTAGAATGTTTCGTGTTGTTATTTTGTGTGTATATAAAAAGCATGTAAAAGGGGATCACAAGGAGGGAGAAAGAGTAAGAACTTCTGGGGTAGGAAAAGCAGTTATTCCTAAAAACAGGGAGCGCTGGGAGACGACGGTTAGTAGGAGAAGGCTACAACTTCAAGAGGCGGATTAAGCGAGGATAAGAAGATCGCTTGCGAATGTCGGGAGTCGGCAGCTGCGAGATCCGTTGACAACTGCAAAATTCTTTGGAGTTCTCAGACTTTGGTGTTCGTACATTTATCGCTGAATTACGTTTGCGTTGTGTTTTTGGATTTGGTATATTAAAATCAGAAATTGATCTCTTTGCTTGAAGTACAGCTATTGGATCATAGGCATAAATCAAATGATCAACAAGGCCCCCAGGGCCAACCTGGCTACTAAAACTTATTTTCAAAAGTCGGAATCTTCTCCGTATTCAATCTTTACAAAAAGGAGGAGGAACCTGGAAGCAAATCGAATGGTATCACTGGCTAACAACCGAAATCTCCTTTTAATAAAAAAAATTTAATAAATTCAGACACTTTTTAACAAGTTTAGTCAATTTTTTCACAAAAAATAAAAAAAAAACCTTCAGAGAGCTTGTTACATCAGCAAAATGTACAGAACGGCCAACAGCAATAGCAGCTTTGTTACCAGTTGGATGGAATTCTGCTCTGCAATTATGATAATAACTTGCGCCGAATACCGGCAAGCAGTAGCCGTGAAAGAATAAAGCACTAATCGGGTGATTCCCAAAATGGGCATGTGCATAAAAATGTTGCATATGCGGCGAGTTCTAACTGGAGATATGCAACTCAGGATAGAAAAGTCCGGCATAGTTTGCGCCCGATATTTAAATTGAAATTTTGGTAGTTTATAAAGGATTGTGAAGAAAGATAAAAATAGAAATGTTAATAAAAAAAGAGCAAAATCTGAAAGGGAATGTTTCGGTCCATCAAGTCGCATACATTCCTATTCAGTGCTGCAACTGGACCTCGTCAGTGTGACGGTTGCAGCGGAAATATAGGTAACGTGCGATGTGCTAAAGGAAAATGATGTGGAAAATGAGGGAGAATCTCAATAACAACATCGATTTTGTGTAACCATCCAAGAGAACAAAATCCGTAACTAGCTTTATAAAGCGAATGAAAAAATAACTGATATAAACAAGACGGAACCAGGATGGACTCTTGGAAGAGGAGTGTAAGGTCTCCTGGGGGACGGTGGGTAAGAAGGGATAGGGAAGAACCTCACTCCACCCTCGAACTGCGCAAAAACTAGGAACAGAGTTGTACCGCTGCTGCTAAATTAGTTTAGAGATACTTCAGGCCTTAGTTCAGTTTTAGCTTTATACCCGGACTTTTGCAGCACTGGTGCCTATGCCCGAAAGACCCTTCGTCTCCTCTCCCGCCCTCGATCCGTCTATAAATATAAATGAAAAGAAAAAGATGTTCAAACTTACGAAACACATGTCCCAGCTTTAGGAGGAGCCGTATAGACTGCGAGCTCAGCAAGATTCGATTCATCACTATTCAATTTCCAGAGGCCAACACCAGTACGAAGCGTGCCATCCCCGAAAAAAAAAAAGAGAGAACATTCTAGTATTAAAAGCAAGAACAGTGAATGGGTTATGAGAATCTATCTTCTGTTTGTTGGTGGGCATTGGCAGATATCGGGGGAAGAGGGGGGAGGGGGATGGGTGTTTCGTAGCAACTGTTCTACTGTAGAAAACTTTCTTCGACACCTCCCTGTCACCCCCC